CCACTGACACTCGAGCCATTTCCATAACAAAGTGGTAAGAATGATAGCCACGGGCAGAATGGAAGGGGTCGCGCAAGGCTCCAGACGCAAACCCTCGCGGCGAGACACCTCCTCAACACAAAAGGAGGGGAAAGCCCCAGCTGTGGTTGTTTGATAAGCGCGGGCCCGCATATGGGGCACAACGCCGTGGTAAGAACGGCTCGGTGTCTCTACGGGCGCTACAGAGCTGTGACGCTACGGACAATTTGCGGGACGTTACCAGCAAGACTAGGTGGTCCCCGAGGTCCCGGAGAGATATAGCAAGCTAAATGCATGTCTTCGGCTTAAAACAGTGCAGCGCGCAAACCAGAGTGTCGGCGCTGAGCCACAGAATTTACGTCGTTCGAGCCTTGCGTGAGCAGGTTAAGGCGGCTTAACCATGAGTAGAGATAACAGACGAAAATGCAGAATGGATGCCCGTGGGAGCATCTTCACAATTATTCTTACTGTGGTTGCGTAATTATTAGCATCGAACTTGTTTTTGTTGTCGACCGCGCTATGTGAGGAGACATAGGTGCCATAGGGCACGGTGGTGTAGTTTCTCGCGCGGCGAAAAAAAAAAAAATCTGCCGTCGTCAGACTGCAAGCAAGTCCCTTCGAAAAATTGTTTGGTATGGCTGTTTCAAAACTTATGTGCATCGCTGGAATTACAGTGACTCAACTTATAAGGAAACCTAAGAGATTGTTCTGTCTCAGACTTGGGTCCACAGATTTAAATCTCACTTATATGTCTTCGTTCCCGTGCCTTTCTAATCAGTTGCAAGCGTGACTTTTGTCTAATCTACCGTCCCCGCCAATCTTTCGTTTCGATTTCCCAGGGCTAATATCTGCAGTAAATTACGTTTTATGTCCCCTCACTACATTTCAACGATTCGTAATTAATAATAACAACGAAAGCGGCGCCTGCATTCATGGTGTGTGAATAGTAGGACAGAGATTACGGGACCCTCTCCACAATTTGAGTTTTACCACAAAAACAATAGCCGAGAAATGTGATACGCTGAAACCTTTCACAACCGCGATGCTTCGTGGTTGTTCCAACAGGCATCGCTAGCTTAACAGAGGCCAGACTTTCGTACAATGTCATTGGTAAGCGTTAGGCAGTCAGTCATAGTAGTCAAACACGGAAGGAATGAATGCGAGAGCTATAGTTAAGAACAACTGTTGGTATTTTATCACTAAATCACCAAATAAAGATAGGTGTACACCTTTAAATGAACATGTAGTGACAGAACTCTTCGAATGATCACTAATACACGTCAAAAAGAGACAACCACCACAATAAAAGAAGCATTCAAACTACGCGCGGGTGTTTTTAGGGGTGAAGCTCCTAATGGCGTGGGTCTGTCCATTCCTTGTAGGTAAGTGACCACCTATAGGTAAGTGACCTTTGCATACTGCCCACTACTTCGTCCTTGCAAGCATCCCACAACGCCCCATCATCGATCCACCAGTTCCCTGACCATAAAGCAAACATTGTTGTGAAGTAGCCAATATGAAATGCAAGGTGGTCGTGTACTTGTATGCAGATGCGCGTTAAAGAACCATATATTGTCCCACTGTGTTCATCGCTTATTTGTGCGTGATCACCTATAGTTCCACCGTTGCAAACTGCCCACCACTTTGTACTTGCAAGCATCCCCCTACGCCCCATCATCCACCACTTCACCGACCATAACGCCGTTATAATGCAGGGGGAACGGAAGCGACGTATGGCTACCACTTACGATTAATAAAATTTCTTGTATAAGTATATACAGTGCTTGTCACGCTTTTTATGACGTAGTGGGCGATATTCGCGGATGATTCAAGGTTTAGCGATGAAACCCTCCAGTGCTTCGCCCCACTCATCCTCATTCACTCCGTGGATATGCTGTGATATATATTTTTTTGCAATACACATCCCGTCGCACTGTAAAAGCGTGAGTACTCGCGTTCGCCAATCGCGTTCACCAATCACGTCCGCCAATCGCGTCCGCCAATCGCGTATGGCACAAACCCTGCCGGCATATACGATAATCACCCCTCCACGAGCCTTCAGTTAAGCAAACATTAGAGCTGCCGGTTTATACCTACCACTCTAATCTTCCTCTCTCTATTCCTATCTCACTTCTCTTCCTACTCTTCAGGCATGGTTAACAAGGCACGGTTACGCTTCGACAAACCGAGCGAATGTATTTCCATCCTCGCGGCGACCTCGTTCGAGTGCGCGAGAGCAACGAGCTGGCCCCACACACAGCCGCGAACGTGCCAGCGCACCGCGGCACGTCCCAGAGCGGCCGTCATCTTTTGACGCAAGCGCTCAGTGGGGGTACGTACCCTTATGAGTGGCGCGACTGCACCTCGCGCACTGCCACTAACGCTTTGTCAAATCTGCAGTGTTCGACGAACCCGGCATCGCTAACACACCAACGGCTTACCGAGTTGATGAGACGCGAGGGATTCTCCTTATAACGGGAGCCGGGAAAGCATAAGCCAATGCCGCGCAGTCGGGTAGCTGACGCGGCGGTTAGCGGGTGTGTCTGCGGCGGAAACAAGTTGTGTTGAAATATAACAGTGATAACGCTTACTGCGACAATAATAATACACATTCCCTCAGCACCTTCGTAGAAGGGGCTGCTGAACCTGCACTGTTATTAATGTACAGTCGTCTGGCCTCTCGCCGTCACACGCGTCGCTTTTATTAACCGCGAATGTTCGCGTTTCAAGGCGCTGTAATGTCTCGGCCGTTGACCTTTGACGTCATGAGAGGCAGTGACATGCGAATATGTCGCGACGTACGCGATGCCTCCCACAGCCTTCTTCCGTGCTCCAGTGGCTGCCAACATGAATATTCCATTGTTCTCGGCTCTCTCTGTTTAACATTTGTTTAACGAGTAGGTTCAAGGCTACGTCGCTCGCGAACAATATGGAAGGTTAAGGAAAACCGTGTAATTGTTCATCCGACAGTTCTGGTATCTTTCACGTTGCGGTCACTCTACGCAGAGGGTTTCGTACAGGTAACCTATAGATGGAAATCCGGCGCTGGTGTCCATGGGAACTGCAACACATGGCACTTCAGCCATGGGAACGATGGGTAGGCCGTTAATTTGCCTTAGTTTAACTTCGTTGCTTCGTTTAACTTGCAGGCACTCTGTCGCAAGATGAAGTTGAGCCGAAAATTCTAGTAGTCCCACGTCCCCTCCTAGACCTTTTTAGACCGACCTTCTCGAATATCAGCTCACCATGCAGCTTCACAAAGAGCCCTTCCTTTATTCGAAACGAAAGCCAGAACCCATTGAACGCTTTATTTATTTATTTATTTATTTATTTATTTATTTATTATTATTTAGTTATTTAGTTATTTATTTATTTATTTATTTATTTATTTAATATTTAATATTTAATATTTAATATTTAATATTTAATATTTAATATTTATTTATTTATTTATTTATTTATTTATTATTTATTTATTTATTTATTTATTTATTTATTTATTATTTATTATTATTTATTTATTTATTATTTATATGTGTGGTTTGACGTCCCAAAGCCACCATATATGATTATGAGAGATGCCGTAGTGGAGGGCTCCGGAAATTTCGACAACCTAGGGTTCATTAACATGCAGGCAAATCTGAGCACATGGGCAGCATGCAGGTGAAAGTGCTGTAGGCCTGTGTGCTCAAATTCGGGCGCACGTTAAGGAACAACAAGTGGTCGAAATTTGCGGAACTCTTACTACAGCTTCTCTCATAATCATATGGTGGCTTTGGGACGTTAAGCTACACATATAAATCTGAAACGCGAAAGTTTATGGCGAGGTATTGCAGGCACCTTCTTTTCCATCGTCTACATTTCGTGCCATACCGGTGCAATCAGAGCTAACATTTTCTTTACCGGTCAGCTTTGCAGAAACATGACGTAGTTATTACGAGTCATTGTTAATAGCAGTATTTGCAGTAAAAAAAACTATGTTGCGCTTGAAGCTTAGGGTAGAGTGCATTCACCAGCATTGTTATTACAGAGCGCAAAAGAAATGGAGGAAATAAAAAAAAATCCCGGGAAAGTACTGAACTCAAACGTATGTACCCAAAACGTGAAGTGACGGAAGATAGTGCATATATCTTTTTTTTTTCATTTTTCCCCATCTCCATGCACGCCGAATCTTACGGGCACCCACACCAGTGCGTCTTCATCATGGTTGTGAAGCACTGGATACGAAACATTTCCCGCCATTTCACTGAGGCTCACAGATTTCGCATTGGGCCGACCGTACAAGAAAACATTGAGGGACGGTTTTTTTTTTTTTGTAAAAAGAGCGTGCCTTCTAAATAAGATTGCTTTACGACGTAATGGTCTGTCTTTCTCGTTTATTATTACCATAGCAACAACCAAGGGTTGATTAAACGTAAGCCATTAGGATACTTCTATGCAGAAGCTCAGTTGCGAATATGTACGTAGAGGGCATCGACAACATCTACGGGGAGCACCTCAATAATATTACTGCTGGTAAAACTAGATCGTTTATTCTACTCGGTGAGTGGAATGCCGGTTGCATAACGTCTAATAGCGCTACCGTTAAAACATTTTTTTTTCGAAATATGCACCAAAATAATTTTTTTTTTTCATGCCTTTAGTACTATTATAAGGTTAACTTCAGATGTGGACGATCCCGCGCAAAGTGTGAATTCATTCAAGTGAGCTGTCTGTTGCCATGTTATTTGGCCTTTTTGTGCTAGCTTGCTATACTTTCGTTTTATTTCTCCGCTTTTGTTCTCGTATAAAATTGACAATTCATTATTATTATCTTCGTTTTTCTTTTACGCCGCAGAACATGGAGATATGTAGACGCCGAGCAGAAATAATCTTCAAGCTCTCCACGTCAAAGTAGCTAGGACAGATTAGAACATGTATAGTTTCGGTTTCATAAAAAAAAACGCGCAGGAGAGGCATGCGCGTGTGGGAAGCGCACTGACCTTTTCGTAGACGTGCGCGGCGGAGAGCTCGTTCTCGACGACCATCATTACGATTCCGAAGAGGGCCATGACCAGGGCGTAGTCGCTGATGCGCTTGCGCTTCTCGAAGAGCGCCTTGCGCCGGCCCAGCCGGTAGCCCACCGAGGGTTTGTGGAAGCGGCCACCGGGGCCGAAACCTCCCGACGCTGCCCCCGGCGCGCCGCTGCCGGACAGCGAGCCCGAGGCGCCCTTGAGGAAGCGCCGCAGGTCGCCGTCGCCCCCACCGCCGACTCCGGCGTCCGTGTGCACGCCCACGAGGGCGATGCCCGCGCCGTCGCTCTCGGTCGAATGCTGCTGCGCCTGGCGTCGTCGTACCGACACGAGCAGGTGATGACCGACAGGGCATGGGAGAGAGACAGAAGGCAAGAAAGAAAGCGTGACCAGGTTCAGGCATCGATAATGCGAATGATAGCGCCACGGTTAAAAGAGCTTAGTGTTAGGCGAGTAGGTGTTGCGACATTTATATACACGCGAATAGCACAACGAACCAGCACAACCATAGGAGTGATCATGGAGCTAGGGGGGGGGGGCAGGGGGCAGGGAGGGTGTCCGCTTTTTTAATCACCTAGATAGGGGGAAAGGGAAGAGCGCTAAGTCTGAAACGTTACTCAGATGAACATGTTCAATGATTGGTTAGGATTGGTTTTATGAGCAGGATAATGAAGGTCGAAGGCACCTCGCAAACTCGAGTCCGATAACTGTTCGCTTCCCATGTTTACTCCCGAGGAGCCGCTGAGACAGGCCATTGTGAGAAGCACGCCGTCACTTCTCCGTTATTATTTTTTTTTTCATCCACTGAGAAGCATATTGTGTTTCGGAAGCGGTGCCCACAGGAGGAGAAGGGCGTGATGTAATTCTCTCCTTCTTCTCAACCCCCTCCCCCCCCTCATCAATGGATGATCTTGCGCACGGCTATGGGCCCAGCAAAACAGAAAACGAACACAGGCTCAACCTGACAACTGCGTTTATCAAAGCAGATTCGTAGTGATGGCGCGCCTGCGCAGCTTGTGGATACAGAATCACGCATAGTCCCTCTTTCAATAAAATCAGCTGTCACTTTCTGCCTGTATTCGTCTCATTTTTTGTTGCGTTTTTCCATTGCTCTACTTGCGATGATATCTATATCCGAGTATCAATAGCCATGTTTAGTCATTTCGTAGAATTAGCTGACAAAACAGTGAGATCAAATGAACAAAAAAATCTGGACAGTGCATGAGAGGTCAGCAAAGGGAAAGTGTGAGACGAACTCTGATAGTAAAGTTTGGGTACAATAATAACACGCTTGTCATTGTTATACATCGTGAAATATATAAGATTGCCAATAAGAGTTTGGAAAAAACATGTCATCAATATCCAAAACACCTTTGGTGCAAATGGTACCTTAAACAATCCGTTTGAAAGCATTGACCGTTACAATAATATGATGAATGAATGAGTGAATGAATGAATGAATGAATGAATGAATGAAACAAGCTTCCTCAACACTGCAATGTGACGTTGTGAAATGTAGTTGAGTATTTCGTAAGTGTACGAGGCACCTTGCATTCAGAGGTTCTTCCTGAAAGTGACAGAAGTCGAAGAGCGTCGTTATTAGCCTCACAACAGAAATACCGTCTCGCACTCCATAAGAGTGTCTTTGGCGCGACTTTCACTCTCCTCTCTCTCCCTGCCTCTCTGATGCCACACATCATATCGACAAAGTTGTAGAATCAATTATTCAATCAATCGATCAATTGATCAATAAATATTTAAAATAAATTAATAAATCAAATCCAACGTGTTCCTCCATCACCCATCTTGCCATGCTGGGTCTCCCAAAAGCGAAAAACTTGTGAAGTGCTTGAATGGCCACAAAGAAAACACGTCTGTCGGCACACAAGACAGCAGGTCCACCCTCATAGAATTTGCTCCCAAGAACAAAACTCAAGACATTGTGTGTCGTCCCCTTTCTGGCCTTTGTGTCCTCGCACTGGAAGTTTAGTATCATGAATTTCCAGCTAGCCCAAGCTTCCGCCCTTGTGAAGAACGCATAGGTTGCCCGCCACAATGCCCACATATGGAACTCACTTGTCGTGGTCACCCCCCCCCCCCCCCACACACACACACAACACCCCAACACGCACAACACCCGTACTGACAAAATCCTGGCACCACTCCGGTTTGCCTACAGTTTGAGTTTGATTCAACCACTGAATCATGCAAACGGTATCGCAAGCACTTTACATTAATCAGTGATTTAAAGACTTGGCCAACACCAGACATCAGGTAGGAAACTAGATGCATGAACCGAACCACAGAAGGTGCACAGAAGTCAAATCACCCGTGTTACAAACAGCTGTTATCGCGGCGGGATTGGCACATCTAAGCACACCTTCTCTTGCTGATGATCCAAATAAGTAAGAGAGACGTTTTACATCGCCGCTGAAATTTTACCCCGACGTTTGGCCTTTTATATCATTTCGTTTTGTCGTACACGCAATGAAACCACGCGAACCAGCAATTACCCGCGCCAGATTCCGAGTCAGAACGTTAAAGCCAGTAAGTTATGGCTTTCGCACATAACCGAGAAGCTGGAGTTGCGACGCTATTTTTATATGCTAGGCAAGGGGCTAAACAGCAGTCTTGCTCTCTGAAAATAAAGTCTCTCTTTCATTTAAAGTATAGAGGGAAAAATGAAACACTCTATTGCCAAACAATGATTCGAAAACGAGTGATGCAGTCGACATTGAGTAGCAGTAGTATTATTGTAGGTTGTGGGTTCCAGGCGGATGAACCCTTTCGATATATGCAAGCAACTGCCTTGCCCAGTTTCCACGTTCCAGGTTATCCCGGAAAATGTGACCTTTTCCTTTTTTTTAAGCGAAGCGTGGGCAGCCTACCAGAAATAATAATAATTGATCGGGTTTATCGTCCCAAAATCCCTACATGATATGAGAGACGCCGTAGTTGAGGGTTCTGAAAATTTCGACCACCCGGCGTGCTTTAGCGTGCACCTGAATCTAAGCCCACGGGGCTCGAGCATTTTCGCCTCCATCGAAAATGCGGCCGAGATTCGATCCCGCGACCTGCGGGTCAGAAGTTGAGCACAATAACCACTGTACCACCGTGGCGGGTAGGCCAGAAATAAAGCACGAGAAGTGCGACGCAACACGCCGCTGGTCTGCAAGCTATCTAGAACGTGTTGTTGGGCTAATTGGTTCTCACTGAAGAAATATTAAGGGCAATCCACATGGACGGCACATCCTATTTTTTTTTCTTCGATTGCTCGATGAGAATTGCGTCCCCAATATTTCAACAAGCTATCTCGCACATGGTGATTTCATTAAAGGTTTCTAACTTAGTTTAATAAAATATGTTACGTTGTCTAAATCGCAGAGTGGAATTAGAAGTCATGACTCAGTGCTTCCAAAAAAGGCGAAGGCTGTTTGATGGAGTGAAACTTAAACCATGCGTATATCATGTGAAAGCCGAAATTGCAATAAACCTCTCAGATGCATCTGCTTCACTGGTTATTTTTTTAGAAATAAAATTTAACGACACGTAGGACTTCTAATGATGTCGCTGTGAGCTTGTTATTGTTTGCGAATTATATTTTCGACGCACATATTTACTGATCAATGTATCAGACTTGCTAGCCAAAGTGTTCTCGATCACTATCCATCGGCTTTTTTTTTATTCTTATCCTGGCTCCGTTTTGGCTACTTGTTCCCGTGCTGCTGTGGCTGCTATTACTTTGTAGAATTCTAAACAATCTTTTCATGCGAAGGTTTACTACTGTTCATTAAAAAATGTAATATTTTACTTTCTCGTTAAATCTGCTGCTACTTTGTTTACTTGTTTCCATGAGTTTATGTTTTAACCTTTCCAGTTGATTGTGTCAATTAGGAGTATTAAGGAAATTAAACGTAGTTAAATAAATAAATGAATATACAAATTTCACTTACGCACAATGAAAAAAGATGCACGTACGAAGTGTTCTCTGTTTCGATCGCTTAAAAGCCGACGTCAGCGAGGAGTCTTTAGAAGCTTTCGAAGATAAAACGAACACGCGGCGAAGAAAGAATCCCGATTCCGGGAACGCGATTTCAAAAGAGAAAGAAAGGAAGGACTATGAGGTGAACTTCTATAACTAGTTAGCCACGATATACGTCTCGCAGCTTACTACCGTCTCGTTTTGCCGAGAACTACAGCAGCTGCAAAGACGTGCTTTTTTTTTTTACTGCACAGCAGTGCTCCGTAATTAAGCTTTTCTTTACTGCATAGCAGTGCTCCGTAATTAAGAGTGGCTCAGTAAGGAAAAGGTGTTTCAGGTGTAACAAGAACGAACACCTCTGAAACCCACACAGGAGAGCTTAGTGCTCGCGTGTTGCTCCAAAGGTCAGCTATTCGAACATATCGAGCCATTCAAGATTAGCTTAACTATAGTTAGTCGGAGAAGGCCCGCAAAGAACAGGACGCAATTAGCTTTGGATATTTCAGGAGCTACGTAGGTTCTTGATCGTATTGCTTTACATAAACAAGAAAGAAACGAGAGGCAGTGAAAGCGCTCGTCGTTCCAAGCTCGAAAAAAACGAGCAAACGGCGTTGGTTGTTTTTGTTAACCGACTGTCTGTTCTTGAGCCCACCTTCACGACATAAAGCAACCCTCATACAATATTGACCATGATAACAATTCGCGTTCACGCGTAACCATATTTATCTGACTCGTCGAGAACATTACAATATCAATCAATCAATCAATCAATCAATCAATCAATCAATCAATCAATCAATCAATCAATCAATCAATCAATCAATCGTCTTCTTTTTAGCACGGCCAATGTATCAATCCATCCCTCACCCGTACAAAAGCTATCAACACCTAAAGTCGTTTTGCACTGCCTCCGAGATCACTCTTGACCGAGCAACGATACCGTGTGATGAGGTCATGTGACGTCACATCGCATAAGGCCATGCTGACTTCCCAAATTCGGACTACCTGTCGCGTTATAAAGACGTCAACAGGTGACGGCACTTTTTTTGCATTTCTTGTTTTCACGTCGCCGCGTTTTCGAGTTTGGCGAGGACGTAAAAAGTAACACTGGCAAGTGAAACACCAAGCTTGTAACATTGAACACTGGACGGAACATACTAACGTTCAGATCTGGCTTTGGGAAACAACTTCGTCAACGAGCTCCTAGTAGCTCCTCTCGACAAGTTTCTCTCGACAAATATATGGACATAAACTAATGGTTACAGATGCGTACGAAGACGTATAGGCCCCCGACGGGAGCAAAGAAACTCAGTAACATTTTTCAGCC